TCAGTCTCGATCATGTGTAGTGCAAGCAGATGACAGTCATAGGAAATGGACTAGTTATTTAGATTGGAATCTACGAACAGGAGACTTTTAAATACAAATATATCCAAAAGGGCAGGTTTATTATAAAAAGGGGGTGAGGAATAAGGGACACTTGCACAGACACAAAGGAGCAGAAAGAGCTGCCCCTTAAAGGGACAGTCTTGTTACAGGGAGACCTGCACAGGCACAGATGGATGGAAGGATTGTTGGCCTAGTAGGAAAAACTCTATGCTAAATTTTCTGACCTGATGACACTTCCATCAAACAAAAGTTGTTATTATTTCTAGGTAGAGATATCTGTAGTTAGAATTAGATATATCAATAGTATTTAACAGGGGCCCTCCCTGGTGGTGCAGTGGGTTAAAGCACAGCACTGTGAAGCACAGCCAAGCAAGCAGGTTTGATCCCTGGCCCTGGGGTGACCCACCTGGAGCAGCAGACCTCTCCTGTCTCACCTGCTGCTCCCTTCAGCAGTGTACCTCATCAATCTGCCTGTTCTGCTCCTCACTCTGTCTCTGATGAATCCCATCGATGTCCCTGCAACTCTGGCCTGTACCCCAATTCTGTATGCATAAATAATTAAATCTTTTAAAATCGTATATAACAAATTATAGATATGTATGATTACGGGAAAGTAGCTAAAATTAACGAAACTCATGTAATTAGAATAAAGAAATAAATTTACTCCAACAGTCCGAAATACAGTACCTAAAACATTTATGGCCACTTGCATCAGTTTTTTCACTAATGGACTTAAAACTATCTCTTAACAAATTCCTTAAAGGCAGTAAGTATAATTAGTATACAAAGTTTAAACTCTAAAATAAATTACTAGAACAAGCTATAGAACAAGGTACAAAGAATTTCTTTGTTCTTTTGTGTCTTAAAATACATCTTCCTATTTTCTGCAATTGGGTTGCTTAAGTAGCCAGAAAAACAAGTCATCTAAGTATATCTATAAATTACACATATCACTTTCAAAAACCTTTTAGATGTATATATTATGTCAGAGGACAGGAAGGCAAACTCTGAATCATCAAAAATGAAGTGGCTGGCGAGACCTGAAGCCAGAGGTATGTCCACATCATTATTCTTCTGTCACTATCAAGTCCTGTTGAGAATGTCATTGATACTCTGGGATTTTACATAGGACTCTGCTATAGATGACTGGGTTTTAATGTCTTCAATGAGGAACGTAGATGTAAAAGGAAGATTTGAAGCATGATACCTACGTGGGACCATGAACCTCAAAGTTTTTGGAAACATGTAAGTTTGGGGTAGAAAACATACACACACAAATATATGTGTGCATGTATGCACCCATTTATATACATATATGCACACACAGGAGACTCAATGACTAAAATTTTCCTGAATTTCAACCCAATTCCAATTGTGTAAAGGAAATGGATTACTATTCTTTGAGACTGGTATCCATAAATCTTTTTTCCAAGCCAAAAAAAAGAAAACAGGATATGCCAAACAAAAAAAAGGAATTTAAGATTATCTGTGCTTGCAGCCTTGTAATGCTCCAGGAGAACTAACAGAAGCCAAGATTATCTCTTGGTTGAATATGTACACAAAATCCAGGTCCTGATGATTCCCCATAAATATGATAAACAAAACATGAGATCAGTTTTCATATCACTAAGTATTCTCTCAAATAAACCACCATGATTGAGATTCTGCTGAAATAAGTCAATCAATAAATCTAAGAAACTAAATAAGAATCTATAAAAAGTATATTTAAAGTCCCAAATACAGAATAAATATGTTTAAGATAATCAAAAGGAACAATAAAAAACACATAATCAATATATTAACAGCTAATTTGGAAAAGAGTCAAAAAGAACTTATGTAAATTCATCATGTGTTCATGAAGTTTAGATTTCAGTGAACAGAGACGTAGAACAGCATATTCAATAAGAAAGAGCAGGTGGAGAGCAGCTTGCATGAAGTAGGTATGCTGTAAATCCATTCCAAACAAAAGCCTTCGAACACAAGGGGGAGAAGGGGAAAGAATCAAAGCTGAAAAAGGACCCGACTGCATCTCTTTGCTGTGTGTATGAGCCTATTTCACTTCCCAAAGGTCCTCAGATGTCTGCTCTGACAGCCCAGGTGGTGGATGGGACAGCGGAGGCAGAACTATTGCATCAGACATATAAAATGTATTTGACTCCTTCCCTCCTCCCAAGGGGAGGTGTATTCATGCCACTTCCCACTCTCAGCTATACTGTTGTCAGGGGTGATCAGAGTGAAATCATTGGTTTTAATCTGTGAAGGACTCAATGGAATGTGTTGATGATCATCATAGATGTATAGTGTTTGGCAATGAAAGGGAGATTCAAAACAAGATGAACGCATAATGGTTTTAAAAATCATCTTTGTATTATGGTTACCTGAGCTCAGGCAATGATTTAATGCCACCTAATTTAAGGCAACCATGAGCTTCAGTATGAAAGAGGAAAAAATCATAGAAACAGGGTAGGGGGAAAGATCAATGGAAATAGTTTCCTCATGTAGAAGAGCTAAATTCTAAGTCAGAGGACTTTGAGTATTTTGGTAACCCTGGCAACCTTTCAACCCTGGCCTGGTATGAGGACATAAAGTAGCCCTCCTGTAACTTACTGATACTCAGAATCTGCAAATATATTCCTGACCCACACTTTCTTTTCTTCTTACCATACCCCCAGGTGAAGAACATGACTATCACAGATAACTTTGAACATCTAATTTCTGTGACAATGTCTTCTTATTTTAAATTAACACAATCATTTAAATATTTCATGCAACATGTCAGTTTTATAAACAAAATCTGTCTCTGAGAGATGGAAATACAGCATCCAAAGTGACCAGACCAAAGCCATTATGAATTATTTATGGTGTTGCAATTTTGTACGAAATCTTGGGAGAGTCTATAAACCTCCTCCAAAAGGCAGGAGTGTTACAGCACTATTCTTTCAAGTTGAATTTCTACAATATTCATGCTTCACAGTACTGGTTTTCATAGTTGTGAATACAAGTTATGATTGTACACCCACTTGGAGTGTCCTGCAGGAAAAGTAATTGGTTTTCTCTTTATGTTTTCAGCTGTCATCCTCTTATTGGAGAATGAGAGGGACAGAGCAAAGAGGGGGAAGAGCACAAGGCTTAGAGAAGGGAACATGGATGCTTCATGGTGGGTCCACAATAGCAACAGCTAAAGGGGGCTCTTGTACACCAATGTGAACATCCGCATGAACAATCTTTAAAATTTGAAAAAAGGCCCTCCCTGGTGGCGCAG